GGAGATGAGCAAACACAGCCCTCAGAGCGCAAACCATCAGCCCTACTTGTTGTCACCTGAGTGTGTGCAAAATACTCTAATTCCATTACACAGACTTGTTTTGGATGTCTTAGAACTGTGTTAATCCCAGCTTGAAACCTAGGACACAGCAGTCTCTGAGCTGAGGCCAAATGTGTTTCTAATGATTAGCAGATAAATTAGAGAAATACTGAGCCTATTAAAATGAGCATACTCAGGAAGGTAATTGGATAGTGAATGAAATCATTCCTTTCACACTGATTAAAGCAATAAAATGGGATGATGGTTCGTGCTCTGAAAGTGTACTACCTGAGGTTTCATCATACAATCTGTCAGAAAACAAAGAAGAAAGAGTAACTAAGCTTTAGCAACAGAATTCAGAATATTATGGCTACTTAAAAAACGGTCAGTGTTTGCACTGTAAACACTTACCTCAAGGCAAATTTTTGCACACCCAACATGTAAGTATTTACAATGGAAAGCAGCTTAATTTTTCTTCATTCTCAATCACAACAAAACACATATCATTTGAATCAAACCTTTTTGATAGTATATAACATGGCTACGAAAGTCTACTTTGGGAAAAGATTTAAGTGAACAACTAAAGAGGAATTTTTTCAGGAAATACTCTAGAGTTTTCCAGTAGTTTTTGTTTTCACTTGCAGTTTCTCCAAACAGTCTAAACATTCAAGCAGTAGAAAGCAAATAGTTCATGTACAGTGGTTCTATGCTGGAGGGGAAAAATTTAATGATTTTTCAGTAAACTTTCGGTTCACTATATTACTACATTGAGCCCAGAATTTGGGCTGCATATTGTCTATCTTAACAAAATAAATGCTGAAGAGGGGCTGTGCTCATTCAGAATATACAAATCCATATCTGATTTCAATAATTGCAAAGTAGGAAACTCAGGACAGTGGGTGTGAGAATCTCGTGCCTGTGGAGTTAAAAAGTTCCCAGTAGTCACACCTCAAGTGTCTTTGGGAATTTATTTTTTTTTTAATTATCATATAAGTGCTTAATGATTTAGGACAACTGTCAGCATCTTTGTTCTAGAGGGTAAAAACTGGGACTGATGAACTATAACCAGAGCAGCTGCAATTGGTTTGAGCCCTATGGAAAGGCTCAGTAAATGCAACCGCCAAGATCTGCCACTGTGTCCTGTCCTCTGCTTGCTGCAGAGCTGCCAGCACTCTGAATGAAGAACTGAAGCAGCATTTATAGGATATGTCCTTTTTCAGACCACAGGAATCCTGAAGTACTCAAGCTAATGCTACACAGGCCTGCTTGAGCCTTGGAAGCCATCCAGCAGTTGCAATGGAGAGGTCAGGAGAGATTAATTTCATCTACTGCTTGAGTCAAGTATTCTGCTTCAGGGTAAAACAGCACTTTTTGACCTCACCCTGGTAAGATTAGACCGTTCTTGGTACCAGAGTTATTTTAACACAGTGAAAGGCTTCATTCACTAGTGGCATTCCTCAGGGATCAGTGTTGGGCCCAGTCCTGTCTAATGTCTTTATTGATGATCTGGATGAGGGGATGGAGTCTACCATCAGCAAATTTGCAGGTGACACCAAGTTGAGGGGGAGTGCTGGAAGGCAGGAGGGCTCTACAGAGGGCCTCTCAGTTCAGGAAGGACATTGAGGTGGAAGAGTGTGTCCAGAGAAGAGCAATGAGGCTGGTGAAGGGACTGGAGCACAAGTCCTAAGAGGAGCAGCTGAGGGAGCTGGGGTTGTTTAGCCTGGAGAGGAGGAGGCTCAGGGAAGACCTCATCACTCTCTACAACTCCCTGAAAGCCTGATGGGGGTCAGTCCCTTCTCTCAGGCAACTAGCCTGAGACAAGAAGATACAGTCTTAAGCTGTGCCAGGGGAGGTTTAGGGTGGACATCAAGAAGAAGTTCTTCACAGAAGGAATGACTGGACATTGGAATGGACTGCCCAGGGAGGCGGTGAAGTCACCATCCCTGAGGGTGTTTAAGGAAAGACTGGTTGTGGCACTTAGTGTCATGGTCTAGTTGACAAGGTGATGTTGGGCCATAGGTTGGACTCGATGACCTCAGAGGTCTTTTCCAACCTGGTTGACTCTGTGATTCTGTGACTGCAGGTTTCAGAGCAAGCAGACTGCTCTTTTCCTCTCCTTGGATTTGTGACTATCAGTTTAAGACTGCATTTGTACCTTCTGCAGTAGCATATATGGGATTGCACAAGGCAGGAGCATCACCAAGGGCTCCTGGTAAGCTGGTGTTGCAGCATGGCACAAGTGAGGAGACAGTCCTTTGCCAGGCAGTGTCACCACCCTGACACTGTGCTAGACAAGGACATATTGGGACTTGTCCAGTAATGAGACTTTTAAAGAAATCTGGTGAAAACCTGGCTTGGCCTGAGCAATGGATCAACTATCCCAGACAAGAAGGAAATTTACTGAAGAAATTATCCAGATGAGGCTGGAAGGCTTCAAACAATGTAATAGGTCATTTATTTCTAGCATCTAGGGAATATCCCTGGATCCCTCAGATGAAAGCTAGACCCATAAGAGAGAAAAGTTTTTGGTTAAATCACCACAATAAACCAGAAAGAGTCATCATATCTTCAAAAGCAAAGCTATTTTTGGGCCTACAGAGAGATAAAGATTTTGAATTCTCAGCTATAAATATCCAAAATACTCCAAGAAGCACTTTGAGATCCCCTTAGATAGGGCCAAAAGCACAGGTCTTGCAGCTACTCTGTGACATTGGCATCAGAGGATTTTCCATAATTTTCCACAAAAATCTTTGCCTTGCCCTCCACAGATCATGATCTCTGTAAGGTTACTGAAGAACAATGCCACAGACAACAGTTTTCCTTGTAGCTTTCCTCCATTTTTGTAGTTTATGCTTTATGGTTTAAATGTACTGAGGTAGATTTGAAACACAATTACTTATCCCATGTCCCACAAGTTTTGTACCAGAATTATGATTCTATACTGACATTTCTGCTCATCTCAATGCAAACTGTAGCTTACTTGAAGATAACACAGTGTGTCCATATGAAATCCTGTTAGTAGTTACTTAGGAATGTAAAGCAACTAAATTAAACAACTATCCTTATAATCAAAACCACAATAATCTCTATAATTAGTTTTTTATCTTCTTTTTTTTTTTTTTTTGCACAGCAAAACAGCAAAAGACCAGGGCATCTTGGACACTAACAAGAATGAAGAACAGAAAATAAGATCAAATATCTTTGTTTTACCAACAATTTTTAGGCTCAGAGACCAGCAAGTCTGTGGAAAAGTCAATACACAGACTTGCGGGCACCATTATATAATTTCCCGTTGCTTTTCCAAGAATCCCATGATCATTTAATGTGGCACTTGCAGGAAATACATAAAAAGGAGTATTGAAGGCAGAACTGCAGCAGTGTGATGACATCAATATAAATAAAAACACACCATCCAGAGTTCATTCCAAGAATGCTATTAAAAATAATCAGCTGTATGAATTCTGAGAGCCCAGGACGGGTGTGCCAAAGTACCTCTCTGGAAGGCCATTGCCAGCAGAGGACAGAAGGCAGAATCCAATAAATTAGGCCATTCTTTCAAAGAAATGCTAAGGTTGATACATAGCCAGTATCTGAAGAATCACCCAAATCCCAGGAAGGCAATGGAAGTACTGAAATGAGTACAAAACCATTTTGTACAAAGGACTATGGAGATACCTATTTTTTCAGCTGCGGCAGGAATAAAACACACAATTTCCCTTTGTCCCAGCTATTCTGTGGAGTAACAGTCTAGAGGCCTGACACCTTCATAGTTTTACTTGCATTGGGGCATTAAGGAATGGCACCTCTTTATCTCACCCCAGCATATTCCCTGCACCAGGCAGGAGGGTCTGGAAGCTGGTTACCAGCTTGGCACATGCTGAAGAAACTCACAGGTCAACAAGCCAAGAGAGAAGACCAATATTTGCTGCAGTAGAGCAGCAGCAAAAAGTAGGGTGAAAAATCCAGCTAGCGCAGTTTAAACTGTCTTAGTGTCTATGACTGTGAGATTTACTAGAAAAGAGTGTAAATAGCACCTTAAAAAAGTATCCTATCTTTGGAAGAGGAAAGTACTTGGGATTGCTAATACGATGCCCAAATACACTCAAGAGTCTAAAATGGGCTATGGACAGTAGATTTCATTAGAATCAAGTTTTAGCAATTTATTTTTAGTACATGTCAAGCACTCAGTGGAGGGAAAGAGATCCCCCACCAAGTATTCAATTAGTAACAATGATCTCACAATTGTATTCCTGCTGCCTGGGACACTCATTACTCATAAAATACTGAGTTCTGAATACTGCCTGAAAACACTGTCACCAAGTGTGAAATAAGGCAGTGGGAGAGAATAGGGAATAATAATAATAAAAGACTCCGAAAAGTTATAAACCTATAAAAAGAAGTCTGAACATTACAAGGTAGAAAGCAGGAGGTGTCAGAGAACTGTCCACACAGGAAAGGCCTCAGGTTTCTAATTTTTATGCCACCTATCCCAAGGGACTTGGAAATCCATAGTTTTTCTTTAGTCTGTAGTTAGTATGAGATTGGACAGATCAGGTATTGCAGTTCCTGTCTTACTGGCTTTCAGAGGAAAGTAAAAAATTTGTGAAGGGCAATTATAGGACAAAGTGCAATAATAGGACAAAAAGAATGGTATCAAAGTATCTGCATAAGAGGAAGAATAGTCCTTTCACAATTCTATTCCCCTGCAAAGACACTGTTAACTCTGACTAGCTCCTCTGAGAGCCACTGCCAGAGGTGCGTGTGTGATGCACGTATCTAAGAATTCCCCGTTGTCCCCAAGCTCAGCTGCTTTCCAAGAACCTCATTCTGCAACCCCTTACAACAAATTTGCACCAACATCACACTGCCCTGGTGCTTCACTTCAACTCTTGCTCTAGTGTGTCACAACGTGTATAACCTCAAAGCAAATAATGTTGGTTTTCTTATGCTTGATGACTTACATCTGATGACTGGAGAGGGCTCTGGTCATCAGGACTGGAAATCCATTTTCCCTTTGTCTCTCTCTGTGTTACGCCCCATTTTTTTTTTCTGTTGAAGGCAGTCAGAGACTCAAGGTGGCAATAGAGAGCTGGAAAACGAATATTCCAGGAACGTGCTATAAATATCCCTTTTGTTGCTTAATGTGTTGTTAAACCTCTTGCTAGAGAGGTCTTTAGTGTTAATCTGCCCATCAGTCTCTCAACAATTCCCATCTAAAATTATCAACAAATAGTTTGGTCAGTAGAGAATGTTTATTTGCAGTAGCACAACTCTCAGTTTGCAGAATATTAGTTGCTTAAAACGTAAGCAAACAGTCGCATTCTAGAAAAGCCAGGACCATGAAAATGAATTCATAACCTTATTTTGCAGTAAATTTAGTGTTATAAGATTTACCGACATTTAGAATACTTTGGATATATCATGTTCCTTAAGGGTGAACATTTTATTAGAATTTTTTTCAATGGTGATCAGCAAAAAATATGACTTTAAGATGATTTGAGAAAACAAACATGCGTTTTTATAACGAAGAGGTTTCTAGTTTCCCCTGGCATGGAACCACCGTACGATGCAAACTGGATGCAGAGTTTCTGACTGACATTGCTGTGCAGCACTGCTGTCTGCTCCCTGCCAGCTGCTGCCTTCCATCCCAGAGGTGGCAGCCTGGAAATGATGAATGAACTAATTCATACAGTCTGCAGCTATCTGAGTGTAAGAGATATATCTAATATGAAATTACATATGTCTGTCTAGATATACAGACACATAAACTAAATTTGGTTTACTAGCATTGGAAAGCCTCCCAAAAGTAAGAAATTGTACAATTACCACTTACCAGTATTTCCCATGTTAAATGTGTCCAAAAAAGGTAACATTTTTTACAAGATTATCCTTAATTAGTCTTTGTCCCTTGAAGATCTTGTAATAGTATGCCTCTTTCAGCCTAAGTGACTCTACTGGCCAGGGAACGTGCTGAGTGAAGGGCTGGGCCAGAGCTGATAAGGGTTTATCCTTTTGCTTCTGTGGACTTCAGATCAAGCCTACAGCTCCTGCCAGGGGAGAAAAAAAAATGGTTTTTTAAATAGGAAAGGCTAATTTCTGACTAAGCTCCTGTTTCTGATCAGAGTAAATGTTGAAAGCTTTAAAGCTGATTACAAATTAAAATATCCATGTCCCCAAATGCTCACCTAGCTTCAAACAATTGGCTGCTGAGCGGGAGCTGCAGGGACAGGTGTGCTGAGAACTGACACCTATTTCAAGATCAGAAGAGGGCACTAGGGTTTCAGCTATATTCAGCATAATCCCAGACAAAGAGAGGGGAAAAAACCTGGTGAAATGTGTCAGAAATAGTCTTTTATTATTATGCTGCTTCTCTCACATAAAGTGAGAAAACACAGGCAGAGCTGAAGGCCCATGGGACCAGGATCCATGGCAGCTCCAGCACAGCTCAAGGTGCACGTTCAGTCACAAACATTTACACCAGAAACTCCAAACTGTGGTATCTCACCCCACCTACTGCAGCCTCCCCTTTGTCCCACCCTGCACGGGTGAATCTTTGCATGTTGTTCCTCTGTTGGGCTCTGTGCTACAACTGTGCTGGCAGCAAACACACCCCCAGGATGACAGGAATTCTCAGAGACACAGAGCTGCCCCATCCGCCCTGCTGAGCAGCAGTCAGAAGGGTCAAGAGATGCCCCTTGGGGGCTTGAGACATACAGTGAATTTTACACTGCAGTTTAACAGTGATAAAAAGCCACACACTCCCAACAAAAGCCCCATTGTGTCTAGCTCTCCTTGTAGCTATAATAATTGCATTATGATTGCTATTTGCTGATAAATCTGATGTGGTACTTTGAAACAGAACAACTCAAATTTTTGTTACACAGGACTTGCCACAAACTGAGCACATTCTGTGTTAAAGGGGTACATTCAGTGATGATGGGGTAAACCACCAAACACTGAACAGTTTATATAAGCCAGCTCAGTTGTTTTGTCTCCCTCTGCTATCAGTGGATCATGGATTACCTGCAGAAAGAGAACCCAAGCTAGACTTTTTTTTTTTTTTTGCTCTGAAACACTTTCTGAGAGAATATTTTGCTCCACATTGGCTCTAAAGGGGATTTAGGAAAACTAACTACCACATATAAATATCCACCATGTGTAAATAAATCCACATAAGCCAAGTTATCTTGTGTGATAAAAGACAAATGCAGAAAACTGTAGCAAAAGAGTAATCGACACTTCCCCACACTGGGTGTCCTCTCCCAGTTACCAGAAATTTCTGGCTCAGGGACTTCAAGTCAGTTGTCTTTTTTGTTGAATATCCCTTGGTAGATTTTTCATGCATGGATTTCCTCCATCTTCCTCCAGAGATGAAACAAAGACCTAGAAGACAATACAGTAAATTAATTTTCCCAACATTCATTTCGGTTGCCACCAAAAAGACTGGCCCCAAGATTCATCCTCACCCCCCACAAAAGTCAGTCCGTGCAAGGCTGCTAAGGAGGTACCTGTTGGCTGTGACTGGCTTAGAGGCACAAGCTGAGTAGTGTGTCTGTAACACCCCCCTACCCCTTGTGTCCATTCCTTACTGATGACCATCAAACACACATAAATGGTCCTCCTGAAAGTCCATGTCCACCTGAACCAGCCTAATGGGAGTATTTAGCTTTAAGCTTCCAGGACTTGGAGAAACCATAGGCCAGAAAGCCCTTTCAGAGAAAAGAAAACCCTTTAAAGGAGCACATTACATGCAATTGCTGTTTAAAAATACATTTACATCTTATTAAAATGGAAAAACAACAATGTTGGGAAACACAGTTTGTAAAAACAGGAAGGTGGATATGTATGTGTAGCAGCCTTCAGAGCCCAGATAACAGCTATCCTATAACTAATGTAGGATCACTGCATTTTACCCTTTCCAACAGCACTAATTGTAGCATATATGGAAATATCAAAGGATTAATTTACTAGGAAAGTTGCATCCTAAACTTTTTCTGCCAATTTTGTCTAATTGTAAAAGAATTATTAGATTATGTACACTAAAATACCTGAATCATCTACATGACTATTCAGTATAGATTGTATTAGGATTTCTTATTGTTAACTTACAATATGTGTGCATATAAACAATGTGTATATTTAAGAGGTAACTCAAAGGGAGCAAAAAATTATGCATCAAATATTTATTATTTGATGGTATGTTCCTCTGTAAGATAGAGTGGGGAAAAATTGGGTTTATGTCTAGAAAAAAGATGTTCTGAACCCACCAAGAGTAATTCAAACTCCATTTTATAACAAGACATTATGGGTACAAGAGGCTATCAGACTTTGGTTTTTTAAATGTTGCCTTGCAAAAAGCAAGATTCCCTGTCTGAGTTCATTTTCTATTTAAAAATCAATTATTATTGTGTTTTGCTGAAGAGTAAGTGAGGAAAAGCTGAATTCCTCCTGCTGCTTCTAAGATAGATAGGAACTGAAGGGGTCTGGGACACTTGTGTGTAAATTAGGGAGTAACTTAAGTGAAGGAATGAATACATTGTGCAAAATGCAAAAAAATTAATAATTAAAAATCAAAGAACAAAACATTTGGGTTTCTGAAGCAGCCTATGTTGTCAGCCTGTGTATTACAGCACCTCCCCACAGACTGACCCTAGCAAAGCTTATTAATATGCAGTTTCCCAATGTCTTTGAGTGTAGCCGGTCTTTTTGTAACTAGATCCAAAACTTCTAGGATGACTTGATACTGCTCGTCTTTCCCTTGGACCAAGACTTTGAAATCTTATTCTGCAGCTTTCAGATCACCTTCCCAACTCAGACAAATATCTCATCTGTTCCAGTGAGAAGGTGCTAACACTCGTCTTCTCAAACCTTAGAAATAGATACACATCTGCAGCACAAATATCTGCACATGAGGAATCCACGTGAACTTGAGAGGAAAGGAATGAAAAGGCTGAATTATAAGTGAGGTAAAGCTGTTGTATGTGCTGCACAAATGGGCTTTGCCAGTAGACCAAGGCAACCTGTGTTGTTCACCTGGTAAAAAGGGGTGTGTGTGTGTGCAGAATGTCAATTACAAATCAACAACAAAATATGCAGAATTCCTAAAATATAAATTTTGTTAATATGGAAGACCTTGTCAGAACTTTTTTAAACTCCTTACAATTGACTCCACTCCACAAGACACCACTGAAGATTTCTTAACTAATATAACAGACTAGTTATTACTTCTCTCCAAAACAATCTCCTATTGGTTGTGCCTTATTCCTGACTACAACCAAAATTATGCTGATGTAGTTGTTAAAATGTTGAAATTGGTCTCCCTGCTCCTCCAGTGTAAGGCTGGCCAGGAGAGAAGGATTCTTGATGATACCTTAGGAGAACTGTGAGGTGAATTTGAACTGAAGTAGCTAATTTGTGGCCATACCTGCTAATAATAGCAAAAGTGTGTGTTTATTACAAACATTTAAACTTCAAGGGCAAACATTCACAAAGGTGAGAGTCAATAATGCCTTAATAAAGCTGGACAGCAAAAAGACATAAATGAATATTAATTTTTTTTAAAAAAGGGAAAAGACCAAAGTTATACTGATGCAGATAGAAAAAGAAACATAGCAATTGAAAAAATCATTAGGATAAAAAGTGCAGCAGTTTAATGAGATTGATTTGCTTTTTGAAAGTCAGTAATAAAAGACACTGCCTCGAAAAGGAAGGACAGGTCCATTGAAAGGCAAATGCTCATTACTTTTATTTGTAAAACCCTGCAAAATAATGAGGAAAAGTTGAAAGCTACTTTAAGGGAATGTGGCATGTCCTAGGCATTAAATGAAAATAAAGACCAAACAGCAGCATTCATTAAGACTTTTAGAGAGACGAGAGATGTATTAAATATCTCTTGGAAAGAGGACAGTGATTTTATAGATCCTCCTTTAAATTTAGACCTTTGGTATTTTGAAATATTGAATACACCATCAGGAAAGGTTAGAAGCAATGTGCCAGCTTCACTGATATCACCCATTTCTATGTGATCAAGCCAGTAACAGATTGGACACAGATTGATCAGGATAAATTTGTATGGAGTTCAGCTCTCCCTGGAAGAAAGCATTACATGAAATTAAACATGGTTTCCTGGTATTACAAGAAAATGATGAAAACAGCACAGAAAAACAGAGAAATGCTTTGAGGCAGGGAGAATTTGTAAATGAAGGAACTTTTAAAGAAAGTCATAAAAACTGCCCTAACACTGAACCTTTTGACCACACCCTGCTCCCAACAGGAGGGCACTTCTGTATCGATTGCTGTAGGACAGCTGAACATGCACCTATCATTATTCCCCATGAAATCATCCAAGCTCTTATTAATGCCAGCAAAGGAGACATGAGGACATGACATGCTCCTTCTTGTATTATCCTCCTCTCAGAGCACAGTGGGGATTTGGACTGAGAGTTTAGTTCGGTGCCAGCTTGCACACAGCTCTCCCTAATAACCACCCAAGTGACCAGAGCATCCCAGGACGGTGCCTTTTTGATTATAAAAGATGCTTTTCTGAAGACAAAAGAACCACCACCACCCACCCATCCTCAAATCCAAAACAGACTAAAACCTTGGAAAATTTACAATAAAATAAAACCATAACTAATTTCAAACAGATCAGTGCTCTATCTTTTCAACTTTTGTCTAGCCACACTTCACCTTAACTTCTATATTACATTTTAATTTGCACCACTATAATTTCCTATCTGAAAAAAGATGCCAAAAGAATTCAGAAAGATGTTCCTTTACCCAATGCACTGACTGTGTTTATTTACATTTTTGGAGTGGTAGAATAATTTGTGTGACAGCTATTAAGATATTCTACGGGCAATTTATAATCCTGTATTTTCATGGCATATATAAGAAACATCACCATGAGAGAAGGCTAATTTTTTTTAACCGTGTGGATTTTTAGTTCGGGGGACAACAACTTTACTTTTTAAAATCTCAGATTAAGACATCTGCAGACCTCAAAAAAAGGAGAGAAGCCTCAAAACTTCTGCTTCTCTGTGGTAGATGTTGAGAACCATCATATTCACACAGCAGTCACAAGTGTGAAGACCTGTTCCTCAGGCACAGCATACACAAAATAGCATTTTAGCTGATTGAACTGAAGAGTACACAGGCTCCCTCAATATGCCTCTTTCTTGAGCCACAGAATTTACTGCATGTTACAACAGCTAACAAAATTTTAAATTGTGGTTTCACTGAAATGTACAGCTAACCAACAATTCTGCCATAAGAAAAACTGATTACATAAAGCCATAAAGCAGTGCAGCATAACTGTATATGTATTTAAGAAATTGAGAAGTAATTTGGAAATCTCACCAAGACCTTGATGGAATTAGGAGAAAACTGTACAAACTGAGGAGCCAGCACTGAGACTGGAACAGTCTCCAGAAGGAAGGCAGTCTGTAGGATTGGCTTTGTAAGGCAATGCTCATCCATAACTCAGGGAATGTTTCTGGTGAGCCTCTTGGGGCAGAGACAGATCCATCCACCCTGCAGGCTAAAAGTCTTAAGTTTCACACACTGCTCACAATAACCATAAAAGACACTGTTTAAAAAATAAATTAAAAAAAGCGCAGTTGTATTTTCCCACCTCATAGAGTCCTTCAGTATCCCCCACAGTTCTGAATGCATGGAAGAAATGGTAGTTTCCTACAGCAGAAAAGCAGTTACAGTAACATTACAGGTTAAATTAATGTAACATGAATTACTCCTTAACTAGATGCTAAGGTTACCCTGCAGCCCCAGGAGAGGTTGGCAACACCTGTGCAAGTTAAACATCAGAACTTGGATAAAGCCAGCATATGTTTGGTCCCTAGAAGAAAGAGTCACTTTTAAAAAAATGTAACTGCTCTTGCTTGACTGTGGTGGGTCTTTTTGATGCTTGTAAACAGAACATGAAAAATACTCCAGCAATGGAAATCTCCTGAAGGTGAAAACCACTGCTATACTAAACTCGTGTTTTCTGTGTGGCACTTTGGCTGATGTTTGTAACAAGATACTGTGAAAATACAAGTGAACTTGACCTTACCCTCATCTTTGGACTCGCAAAATGATCTCTGCTGGAAACTTCCTCACATTTCCTTTCATGTGCCAGATCAAGACTGAGACCAATCAGATAAAGCAGCGTGTCTTGAAAGCTTGACTTGCAGTTGTCCAGACAGTTAACCTTAGCCACAGAAAAAAAAAAAAAAAAACAACAATCAAACGATCTGTTTTCTTTGCAGCCTTACAACCACTGCATCACATGATGTGACACTAATTTCCCAACAGTGTATACTTTGAAGCTGACAAGTGTTAAGATGTGATTAAAAATTCCAGATGAATGTAAGTACCTGACACTCAGATGTGCTCCTCAGTTGCATTGTTGATCACAGGAAAACAGCCAGGAATCCACTTGCCCATTTATGTACGAGGAAGGTGCTGCAGAGACCTAATTACAGGGTGCCTAAGATAACTTCCTCAGCAGATACAGAGCTGACTCACAATCAGCCTAAATTAAACACAATTAGTTATTATTTTACCATTAGGATCAAGGATAATACAGCAGATTAAAAAAAACACCGAACAGATAAAACTCCCAAACAAACCCAAACAACCAAACCCCCCAAAATCACCATGGGAAACTCTGCATACCTGCTTCCAAAAACTCACAAGTCTGTTGTGATCTGTTATATCACCTGGTTCAGAAAAATAGTTGGTTTAGCGATTAATTAAAACATTTATCCATGAAACAGTTTACCAAGAATGCACTAATTGTAACAAATAAATAAAGTGTAATTGGATAACTTCAGTACCTGCAGGGGAAATTGTGACTTTTCAAGAAACATGTCAGACAAAAATGACAGCTCCTTACAGACAGTATGTCCTTGAAAACTAAACTGCAGCTGATTGTAAATGCTATGAATATGCACTTACAATTAAACAAATATGTGGTGTCTTATTAGTAGGACATAAGATTGAGCTATTTAAGCTTGTTTGATGAATCACTCATTCCAAAAGCTTTTTAGAGTAATGGGTGCATTTTTAAGTAAAATGCAGCTAAACTGTAGAGGTTATTAAATTGTAATAAAAAGATATTCTAAACATTAAATACCAAGTGAACACACTAAGAAGGAACACTACAGACGATTTAAATCAAGAACTAAAAGCTAGGAAGTGAATAGAAAAATTCAAAACATTTTCAATAATAGTTACAGCAAATACTCAAAACAGTTGTTTAGTCTAGATTAAATCCTTATTTGGGACATATGAGACTGAAAATGCCTTCTGATGTTCATGTGTTGGCTTTTTTTCATGGAGGAACAGGAGGAATGTGGCAGAGGAACACTGACATTTTGCTCTCAAACACTTATTTGTATGAGTAATTTTACCACATGAAGACTCCTGGTGAGTTTACCAGGACTACTTGTGTAAGGAGTTCCTCATGGGCATGATTATTCACAGAATCTAAGCCATTAAAGGCTATTAACTCTCCTCTCTGGTAATAACATTATTTACATATTTCTTCTCAATGAACAGGCCCAGTCATAAAGATTAAAGAAGGAAAAGATTTCACTGGACAATACATTTCTCAAAAGTTATTTAAATTTTAGGTGGCCAAAACTGCTATCAGTCAAGGAGTTGGCTAAAAGAAGTCAGAAGTTTGGAAGTCACTTTCTTTTATTTCACTTTTTTTTTTTTTTTTTAAATTGTCCCAAAAGAGAGAGAGGGGGGGGGAAAATCCCTGACACTGCAAATACCTGTAAATTGTGAACACTCTCCTTTGATTCTTCTGCAGGAGTTTCAAGTGTAAAACAAGACCTTTTCCCTTTCCCACACTGGGAGAAGTGACAGAAAAATGTTACAAAACAGACTCCTCTCCCTTGTTTTGACTTACAAAAGTCCACATTAATTTTGATGAGAACAGGAGCTAAACAGTACAACACTTTACCCTCAAATTTGTAGAAAATAGCAGTCCCTTTTCACTGTCATAACAATTTTTCCAAGTCACACTAAACATCCACGGAGATGGGGACACAGGTTTCTCTACAGAGGATCTCCGTGCAGCGTGTGTGCAGCGCCCCAGTAAATTCCAGGATGCTCATACAGCAATGGAGAAAAAAACCCTTGTAATCACAGAGCCTCAGGGCTCTCTGTGTATTAAACACATCAGGTCTCCTCTGTGGAAAGTATTTTCCCTTCCCCACACCTTTTCCCTTTTAAGTTGGAGGAAGTCAGTGTTGGCATTGAATGCTTCCTTGGATTCCAGTTTCCCCGTGCAACCACAACTGTTTTTAAACAGTGATGATGGCCTGGCACTCCAGTAGTGAGGTCAGTACGGACTCACAGTTATTCTATTTGCACATCCACCTACAGTAACTTCTCTTTCCTTTGTGCACAGTTTCTTTTTGCCACTGATAGTTGCCTTCCCCAAGAGCAATGAGTTTTAAGATACATGGTTATACCCATTCAAAAACTACTTGCAACAAGAAATTAATATCTTGTTAGAAACACGACACTAAAACGGTGGCATTATAATCACGGAAAGATTTAATCGGACATGATTACAGTAATTTATATCTCGATGTGATTACAGTAATTTGTATCTATTAAAATTAACACAAAATTTAAATCTCTTGCCATGTTAATTTTTCAAAGGAAATGATATACTTCAACTTAATGATGTGAAATTCCCCCCAAACATGTTATGTATTTCTTTTCAATTTTGTTGCACAACTATAATACAACCACAAAACAAAAAGTACGAGATACAAAAACATTAAGTTACCTAAATGTGATCAGAATAAAGGGTATTTCTAGCAATGTTGGTGAATACTTTTTTTGAAGGATCTTCTGCATAACTGTTCTCATCCCTTGACTTCACCTGTTATAAATATAGCGTTAAAGGAACATATCAATATATCTTCAATCCAAGTCACATTTTGCTTGTATGTCATTCAGACCCATCCACATTTCCAAACTACTGGGGAGAGAGGATTTATGAAGAATAAATTTATTGAGCAATTAAGATGAATGCCCAGAGTGGAATCTTGCTAGGACAATAATAGATAAGTAATAACAGATAAGTAATCCTCGCACTTTATGTGTTCAATGGAATTTCAACACAAGAATCAATCACTTCAGCAGCAGCTACTGGACGTGGTATTGCTGTTTTACAGCTGGGAGAGTCAAGAGGAAACAGCAGAAGTATTTGGAAGAAGGATGAAATAGCTACAAGGATAAGAGTAAGCACAGTTTTTCAGACAATAAAGCGAAACTCTCAACAGGTATGTTTTCCTTTTTTTCTCTCATATCTCCCTGTGATATGAGGGGTCTCCAAACTGCTGTGTAACTGTTCAAAAACTGGGAAAAAGCTGGTGTTCACCACCTGTTCAGACTACTAACTTTTCACTCACTAGCTGATGTCCAGCTGTTAATGCTGGCCAAGAGCTTTCTCCTGGATTTGGATTCTGATTCCTACCTTTAGAGAAGGATGTGTAAGCAGTGGCAAGCACTTGGGTTAGATGATGAGGGTAATGAAGGAAAATAACTAACAAACCCCAGAAGCAAGTTAGATGAAAAGGTCACAGACAAAAAAGTGCCAAAGTAAAGTGAATTTGGCAGATGAGAAAAGAGAGAAGAGGAAAAATAGCATCAAATTCAAATTATCCCTTGTTATCACTGCCTAGAGCAATCCCTTCCTGCCTAGGGCACACAATCAAATGCTATTGATCTTTCCTAACTTCTAGCAGATTTCAGAGAGAGAATCAAATTTCAAGAAAACAGATCAGGCCCCAGAACCATGATACATATTTCTGTCTCCTTTCCCTGTTAGGTCTTTGAATTTCCTCAGCAGGACTGAATTCCATCAATTTCCCATTAATCATCATTTTAATGTTTTACAGTAGCAAGCTTGAGCTAGCAGCACTTTTGCTTGTATCTTAAACTGGCAGAGTTCCAAAATGTTGAGCCATAATTTCACAAAATAGGTTGGGGACACACTAAATTTGTATCTACGGTTGGCAGCAGTTTATAGCAATGAGGCACTGTGTCAGGATGCTAAAATAGTTCTTAAAAATCCAGGAGAGTGCCCTGTACAGCACACCTTTCAGTAACCCACGTAACCCAGTGTAACGCTGTTACACTGCTGTCTCCTGAGAACGAAACAACTGAGCTTTGTTATAGGCTGTCTTAAGTATGAGTCATGAATGTGTGTATTTTTAACTTAAAAGCTAGATCAGAAGGACTATTTGCTTCCAGATACATCATTTAAATAAATGTACATAGCTGCTAAAACCAATTACAGAAATTATGTAGGACATACAAGAAAGAAAGGGCAAAAGTTAGTTTACATTAAAATTCATGACAAATTGTCTGTTGTTTTAATTTTACAGAAATAAGGTTCTTCATTTGTCAATTTGATGAAATACATGTTTTAAAAAGTCCAGTCCTACCAGATATTGTTTTTACCTGACTCACTTTGTAATGTTCACACAAAAGACATATGTGGTTTATTTAATTATTTTTGTAAGCTTTTAAGGATTTCAGAAAATCCTTTAATAAATTGTTAAACAAGTCAACTTAACCCCTTTAGAAGAAACAGCAGATATGTATTCATCAATTACCAGATGTTGGTTTAAAACCCAGTATATCTCCAGCTTTCTTTGCAAAGAATGTCCGTGTTATTTAGCTGTGTTTCCAGACGCCTGGCTTCCCCTAATTCATCTTAGAATCTCTTGCTACTCTGTCTACATTATGTATGAAGGTAAAACCTTCGCTGAAGAAGAGACTTTGATTTCTTATAAATGTACACAATAACTAGAAGAAAGGGGACCTAAACTAATAACAGAAGATTTAATCACAGTAAATCAAGTAAATATTATGAAACACATTTTACAACTAGGTAAACTGAACTGAACTGAGCAAGGTGGTGGAACAATATAACAGCACACTTGGAAATCAAAGCAAGAAATCCTATCACAGTATTTATTTTCACTAAGCCCACCAGATACAAGCAGCACACATACACCACACTCCCTGGATGCCCTTCCCCACGCAGCAGATGTTTCTGAGAGGGAAAGGCTCGTTGCCCTCCAGAGCATGATTTGTTGCTTAATGTCAGCTGCCAACAAAAAGCCACCTCCCTTGCTGGAAATGATGAACATGCAACAGAAGAGGGGGCTATATAAACTACAGACTCACCTCTCCCCACCATCCCAGTCTTTTTAAAGAAGAAAATGTTGCATTACCTTTTTGAAATTCAGATGAAAGTACGTGCCTGTATGGTGAGAAATAACCCCATCAAAGAGGCTGCTTTGGCTGTTTTTCTATTTTGTCATCTGCTCAGCTATGAAATGGCCATGCTATGGTATGCTGCAGAATTTTAGTCTTCAAAACAAACAAGTACAAGAAGCCTGTAATACTGGGATAAGTATTTTCTTTCCTTTTATTTTTTTTAAATAACTGATCACTGCTAATTCTTGAAGTAGCAGTATATACCATGAGATGAGAAAGTGACCCTGAGATTAGCTCAGCTGGTTGGAGCACGGTGCTAAAAACACCAAGTTCATAGGTTCAATCCCTGTTTGGGCTCTTAGCTTCAAGAGTTGGACTCGATGACCCTTGTGGGTCCCTTCTAACTCAGAATATTCTGTGATTCTGTATCTTCCCAAATTACCTCTAGCTTTGTATTTTTCAAGATACCTTTAGTTCCCAGCTCTCTAAACTCTTCTGTGCTGCATCACTTACAAATTCCTCCTAAAGGTCATACTACAACTGTTTTCTTCTCCCACTTACACCACGAGACCAGTCAATGTTAATAGCCTCACAATACTAATGACTGTGAAAGGTTCACAGTTTGTCCCTATGAGAGTTACTGACTAAATAATGACAAAGACAGAAAAAATTTCCATGATGTTACCCTCCCTTTACCCAAAGAAAGCCACATCAGAAGGAAGGAAGGAAGACTTCTTGACTTGATACATAAAGGAATGCATTTAAATTAAAACCTGATTATTGTCATAATGAATTTGCACTTAGGAAACCCAATGATTAACTGAAGAGAAAGTCAAAAGAAATGAAGCATGGCCTACAACGGTTGTTGAGGCAGCATTATTTATTTGACTAAAAATGCAGATATCTCTATGTAAAACTGCTGTAGGTTTTGTTTTTCTTGGTTGTATTTGTTTTGTGTTTTAAATTTTCAAAATACTTGACTTCATGAATTGTGAAATCTAATTTCAGTGCCAATTACTTTCTGTAGCTTAATGAAAAAATATATTCATAATAATGTAGATTTCATGTGTTTAATTTCTTTTGAATATCTAATGAGGAAAATGCAGACAAAAAATGACTGTGCTTCTGCACATTGAATGGAAATCAACTAATGTTATTGTAACAGAATTTCGTGCTGTACAGATTTCATCAACATTTCTAATCTATCTGCAACTTCCTGAGCAGGTGGAATGTGTTTGAAATAGGAACAGTTCTAGCTTTGCAGTGCTATTTCTATAAATATGAAATTCAGGTATTTCTCTAGTAATTTGCAGGTGCCTGTATCACCACCAGTGCCGCCACTAACATTTTGACTAAAACAATAATATATTTGTCAGTGTTGTGTCAATATTATCTTTTATTAAAATCGTATTAGCCATTCATTTGTTCACTGTTCATTTGGGAATGTTTTTTTTTAATATTCTGCATTTTAATTTTTTTAAAACAGCCTATGCCTGGACATTTCTATTATAAATTGCTTTTCCAGTCAGGCTGACTAATATTTCTCACTGTCACTGCAAGTGAGAAATAGGAACTCAAATCAGAACTGAGTCTCTAGAAAGATGAAATGATCTAAAGAGAAGTAGCAAAAGTCTGGAGGTGAAAAATAAGTGGCATGAAAACTTCTGGGCTGTATATAAAATATACTGAAAGAGTTAAATAGCAAAGAAATTTCTAGTTGCTGTGACAACACACCATCATCATGACATAATTTTCGCCCAGATAATTGTTTTCTTTAATGAAATCATGAACAGTTATTATGGTTTTCTTACTTCCTACCTTTATACTAAAGAACATATTACAATACACTAACATATCTACATTTTATTACATATTATAAACCCCCCAGATTTTGTTGGAAGATGCTGAGAAAAAATACGTCGCAAGAAAGAAGAGAAGACTGGAAACAGATCCCACTCTTGTCCCAAGCAACAAAACTGTTTATGAGCCGAGGAAGTCATTCACATTGAGACAGACCATGCTTTCACCTAAAATGTTGCAGTGTTGGTGGTGATTTAATGCTTCTAGCCTCGAGAGAGCTAGCCTAGCTCAGCAATGTGCTGCTTAAAAAGAAAACCACAGCCCAGATTGAAGACGTTTCATAGAAGTCTCATGGAAACCACGCAGCAGCCAAGACTCTGAGAAGGCTTTCTTCACTACTGTCATCATGGGACTATTCATTTTTGGGTAGATGGGTATGACACTGTCTTAACCATTACAGTCTGGGAAGGAGGAGAAAAAAGCAAGATACTCTAAACACCAAGATTTGTGGGGTGAAAAAGCAACAACTCAATGTTGCTCAAATGTTAGCACAGATTTTTTTGTGTCAGGTGTGATGATAGTTGCAGAGAAGTCAGAAAAAGCACTAAGCTAGAGCTGCAGTGATAGTGGTCAGATATCACTCCTGTCATTTCTTATGATGTAAGCTGTCAGACATTTTTCTCTAAAAACATGAAATACTACACCCCTTAGCTATATTTTTTACTATGTATGCTGCCTTGTATATAAGGCTCAAGGCCTACTATATTTTTGTATCAAACATTCTAATGTTTTAAACCTGCAGTCAAGGGTCTACAAGATGAATACCAGAATTTTAACATAAATGAGAAGACCTTGATTCATTAGTATTTTATCATTAAATAAAAAGGGGCTCAAGATTTTTAAAAATAAAAATTAACAAAACAGTGGCAAAGAAAAATTCATCGACAATGTACTTCTGAATTTGGAAAGCCTAGAAAAGTCAGTAAGTACCCTTTTTCCTGTCCCTGCCACTAAGGGTTGCTCCAGACATTTGTCACGTGTAGAGTAAAGGCCCTCTTTCAATGGGTCAGTGTTCATGGACTTCCACATGCTCTTCCAGATTCTCTTTTCACATGTTAATATTTTCTTTCACTAACTTGGAAAGTGGAGCCTCATTCTACCCTGAAAGATGAAGAGAACAAAGGTACCCTGTTCACACGTCACATCTCAGCAACTCCCGTGGATGCTGTGGTTTGGACTTCTGTGGTGAAACCAGGAACAATGTGTGGGCAGAATTTGGTTTCCTTGTTTGTATGCTGAAAAGAAATTGCTCTTCTCTGCAACAAACAGGACTGGTATAATTTTAATGTGAACAAGCAATCTTAGGAACTCCAGACAACCTGAGAAGCCTGCTAACATCTCTGTGAAATCCTATGATGACAAAAATTAAATTCAGTGGCCTATGAAGGTACAGGGGAGAAACTAAGTAATAAAGCCCTAACTTTGTCCTCCTTGTCTTTTACTGTCAGTGTCTTTTAGGGCATTTTTTCCATCTGCTTGAAAAGAATTCTTCAATATCAATGAATGTATTACAGTTCAAGAATAGTTATTTTTCAGTTAAAGTCTCATTAATGTTATATAATTACAATACAATCCTCTGATTTCCATCACCCCTGCTGAAAGGGCAATAAAAAGCATGTTGCAAGATAATGAAACAAATGTATCTCACAAAAAAAAAAAAGAGTAGAGATTCACAAGTTTAATACTATTATTTCCTCCTCGGCAATGACTGTCCTCCTCCTTTTTAATAAAAAGCAGAAGTGTTATAAAATATATATGGAAAAAATCATCACTGCCAGATGAAAAGGATTTCGGGTAAGTAGCACTCCCAGTTTCGCAACTTGTAAAGGCACAGAGTCTTTTGAAGCTGGAGACCCACACAGACAACAAGCTGCTTTCAAGTGCCAGCATTAGCCAATCTCTTCACTCCCTGGCTGCCCTTTCTGGGGCTATTTCTACAAATACAACAAGATGTTAGATTGACAAGGTCACCATGCAGAATGCATCAGGTCCTGACATCTACTAGGAGAATCATTTGGCCACAAACTTTCATCATTTCAGATGTTTTGACCATTAAGTCATGGGCAGCATCACCCTGGGAGTCCTATTTATAGCTCCTGTGCTTCACTGTAGGGTCTTGAATTAAAGGTAAAAGATTACTTCAGTTCTTTTATACACAGTAGAAAACTTGTTGAAATAAAGTCAGTTCAGCTGAATTTTCAGAGTAAAAAGAAATCAAACATTCATAGTGCTGCCTTTGAACAGTGAAAGGAACTTTTACTCTTTTTATAAATATCATATTTTATATGAGGTTTATAAATATACTTGGCAAAGAAGTTTCATCCAAATGTTAGCAATTTCATATCTTTCATTTACAGGATATTGACCCAGTTGATTTCTAATTAATTGCAGACCTTTTTCTCATTAGCTTATCGATTGAAGAGTCTGCAATACATTCCTGACTGCATTATAAATTACAGCCGTGGTTCCAGGGTACATTTGGTTGCATTTAATTCCAGTTGTCTACATTTTTCTCATTGTAGGAGTTACCTGCTCTACATCTTGCTAAACTATATCCCTTAGAATAGAGAACTACAGGTCCTTTGTTACTGTAGATCCACTTCTATTAGTAATAAGTCCACTTTTCTGCTCATTCAGATTTAAGAATGCAACAGTGAAACCCAAAAATGCCCTCAAAAAAGGCCTCAGTCAAAACTCATGACACCTGTCAGAAGTTTTCCATTGATTTCAGGGAGCTTTGGATCAATCTCCCAAGTGAGTAGGTTGTTGCAAAAGCAGGCTTGAAGATGATACTTTTTTAAAAAAAACCCACACCTTCAAATCAAATCATTATTTAGAAAAATCTTTTACTGGAAGCCCAGTAAACCTAGCAACACTATAAACCTTAAATAAAAGCAAAAAGTCCAGGAAAGGTGTAAATTCCAGATACATTCAAAGAGATGAAGGCATTAGGAAATAGCATTTGTAAAAGCTTGTTTTTCAGTAAAGATAATTTCTCTTATTAAAAATCCCAACTGAATAAACACTTTGTTTAAAGAGCACTTACCAGACTTCACAACAGTGGAGTTCAGTAATATGCATTAAAGTTTGCATGTAATCACATCCTGGACCATCTTTAGTACCTATAAAAAAAAAAAAAAAATTAATTCAAAGGAAAATAATTTAGTCTAATTTTATCTAGGTTGTGGCAGAAGAGAACAGTATCACACCCTAAATTTCATTTGAAGACCAAGCAAAGAACAGCTCCCATTGCAAAAATTAGAGTAATTTCTTCTTCTATTCCAGAAGGTGCAGTTCTGAATATTGGTTCCAGGCACAAATGTGTGTCCTGAGCAGCACCTTCATCAAGTACAGTCTCAGCAGCCCCTAATTCCATCTTAACGACTTAGAGTTTAAGCTGCTTTCCCCAAAATGCATCTCCTTGGCACTACAAACACAACATTCTGAAAATGAAGGAAATTCTCCTTTTCTTAAGTGCCTAAATTACTGACATGTCCAAGTCATTACCAAGAGGAAACATTTCTTAGAACACTGGAATTATGATCCATGCTGGCAAGCACTGAAACACTGCATTTCCACCAAAATGGAAAGGCCAGCCACATTTTAGAAGTCCATCTTCTGTCTCTTAATCTTCACAGCAGGATTTCTACTAAAAATGCAACTATGGGGGAAAAACTGCTGTCTTGATTTTACATAAAGGTTTTCCAACAAATGAGATAGAATTAAACTACAGAGGATAAATCCATTCCAGCTGAAAAAAAGCCTGCCTAAGAAAGCATATGCTTCTGTGCCAGCATAGGCCAAACCAGTTGCTAAAACACAAGACAGTTCAACACTAGAGAGTTGGTTTACCACATTTCTTTCAGAGTTCTTGCCAATAGAGTAGTATCATTTTTTAGGCTCAGTTACTTCCTGGGTAGCAGAGCTACATTCATGAGCTCTGTTCAGCCTGGGCTGAAGTCATGCTAGCAAGGCAGTATTGCATGAGGAGGGTGAGATCTCCCATGTGCAAATTCCTTTTGAACTGGCACAATTGCACTTGCACCACGAGCATAAGTCAGGCCTATCTGTTGCTCACTCCTGCCAAGCAAGCACATGTAGCTTAACCAGAAAAATTGCATCTGCTCCAAGGGCTTCTCCTCACACAAATCTGCCTGACAGGGATCAAACTCCTCATCAAACCTGGCTTGACACAGCCCTGCCAGCAAACATCTGTAGCAGAGACATGGCCTGAAAGCCACTGCTTTAAAGGGAAAGGCCACCAGCTGAGCCTTGCTTTCTCTTTGATCTTCTTGAATGTTTATATCAAAGCAATCTGAAGGGCCTCAGCTGAAGGGGTTGTTGCTGCACCGAAAAGGCAAAAACAGAAACACAAGATGGGGTGAGGTATGCTGTACACACAAACAGCAACTCCCACATCCAACCCCCCCAAAAAAGGGCCCTCAAAATGGGGTCTTGTCAGTACTAACTTTATTGTGGATGCCTGTAACTGGCCATGTAAAGACCTACCAGGCTGCTTATATAAGTCCCAAAATGTCCGAATGCATCTGGCCAGGGATTATGTGTCCATATGTGCAACCAAATCATTAATTAAATAATTTGTTTCTCCTGTGCCACTCATCAAATTCCTCTCAGAACGGTATCAGTTAGAATGTTTGCACAGATGGTGGCTTCCAACAGCAAAGACTAAATACCATGTACTCAAGACACGCAATGTAAAACTACCATGACAGTGTGTTATTTCAATCTATGCACATAATTGTTTCAAGCTCTTGAAAAATGCTACTGTTTAAACTATAATTTATGAATGGTCTCAGAGTAATCAGTGACTGCAGCCAGCATAAAGCCATTTATCAGCCTGAATCCATTCACCCTGTTTCGACAGAGGCTAATGTGCTCTGCGATGGGCTGGTGGACAGCCTCTCTGTTCCCGGGTGGAAATTCCAACCGCTCACACGTCTGCTCGTTTTCCAGTGCACTAGCTGAGATCAGACAAAGATACGCTGAGACGTGTTCTCACACAGCCTAAAGCAACCCGAAATAAGGGTTCTGAATATGCGCGAGCGTACGCTCGTTATCACACGGCAATTTCTCTTTACCTACAGACCCTTGTCCCTTTCTCCAAGGCAAGCCAGCCAACCCCCCAAAGGGATAGTGACCTTAACCCACATTAATTTGACAGAGCTACCATCCCTGCTGTTGTTCCCTGGAGGAAACAGACAGTACTGACCACAGTTCCTCAGGGGATGGCTGGTGTCTCAGTAGTGTCCTTGGAAAGCAAAACATTACAACTGCCAAAATAGTGAAAAAAGGGTCTTCTGGAAAATCAAAGAGCAGACTGATTGGGTAATTTCTCTTCCCCTCCACAACACACAGAAGGACGAGACGAACTCCAACTATTTCCCTGGGGGAGGGTAGAAACTTATAATCCTTTAAAGCAAATACTTAGAAAAACAGAAATACCCAAAGGAGTTCTCTTGTACACATTTATTAGCAAGACTAATCTTGGTTTCCCTGATTATGCTTTCGAAGACTAAGGAAGTGGGTTTAGTTTTCTTGGTAGCCCCATTGAACACTGCCAAGATGAGGAACAAGTGAAAAAGGCCATTTTAATACCTAAGTGAATGGCAGAGGCAGACTACCAAAAAGTAAGGCAGACATGATGTAAAATTAAATGTGCTGGAGAGAGTTAATTCTCCTAGTAAACTAAAATAGAAGGCTGGTCCATATCTAACTCTGAATGATTTTCCTTCTGATATATCCTCTGTTGCCTTCCTTCTTTGTTCCTCACCAGTCTAGTATTGTCCCTGTCCCTACTCTTGGCTGTTCCCATTTAGCCATACCTGCCTCTGAAGCACAGATACACTCCTTCATATCTGTACACACAAACACCTCTCAGAAAACAGAGCTGAAGGTCTCCTCTGCTGGCAACCACTCACCTTGCTCTGATCCATTGCCTCATGCTTGTTCCCAAAACCACTTTCTTCAAAGTGAGTTGGTGATGTGGACTTATGCATATTAGAGAAGCTAAACCAGGCTTATATAGTTCTTGACATCTGAGCTTTAATAAATTACTAGATTGACAGAATCACAGAATATTCTGAGTTGGAAGGGACCCACAAGGATCGAATCCAACTCCTAAGTGAATGGCCTATACAGGGATTAAACCCACAGCCTTGGCGCTATTAACATCATGCTCTAACCAACTGAGCTGATCTCAGGGTACTAGAGAGTAACTGAACTCATGCTTGAGAGTGAAATGTTCTAATTAGATAGCTCATATATGGTTATTTTTGTAATGAACTTTTTATTTACAGCACCCCTACTGAAATCTTCCATGCTGCACTCCTGTGTACAAATAGCAAATATATTTCTTCACTTACTGTCTCCAGCAGACAAGCTGGCTTCCAGTCGGCAGCATTAAGCCAGGCTTCTCAGTGGTGTAACAGAGTATTAAGATATAATAAGAGGTAACAGTGGTATTAAGATAAAATCCCAGTTGCATGGGTTTTGGTTTACAGATACCCTTTACCAGGTGAGGGGAAGAAGGAATTAGACTTAGTTTCAAGTGACATAAATTGAAAGGATTGCAAACACAGCGTGTTGGGTCAAATATACAATTACTAACTAGAAGTGCTTATACCTTTTGTGTGTTCACAAAATCAGTCTCAGGGACTGTTTCAGTGGCAACAGTATTATTTATGCAGAGAGTGCACCACAAAGGATACTGTTATACTGCCTAGTTTTGAGGAAAGAGAGCCTCGAAAAAGGCTGGAGGTGAAGAATCTGTTTACAGATGGCTTACAGCAACATATCTTGTGCTGGTTAATCACAAAAGCATAAACTACATCCTTTAGCAATTCACCTTAATCTAATGGTTTGTCCTAAAATATTTATCGGCTGGGTTTACCTCACCTACAAGAACAAACATTTAAACATATTGCATTGGTTAAAGGGAAAGGATTTTATGCAACATTTTAGTGAAATTCATGTTTCTGGACAAGATGCTTCCATTTGCAGCCATGACCCAAAGATAGTATGATTCAGCATTCCCTAATAAAGTAATTTAATTGGCTTTTGTTCTAATTTGTCATTTTATCAGAGACAGAAGAATCAAACTACAGGGTGGAAAGAAAGAAAAAGCAAAGGAGGGGGAAAAAAGGAAACCCCTTCCACAGAAACAAGCACAGTTTGTTTTGGTTGTATTAACCAAATACTATTAAGAAAGACATATAATTAAGTTATATCCAGTAGAGCTGGAAAGTCAATACTCAGCATTCATATCACCAGTGATACATGCCTTACTTCTCCATTGGATGATTAAATGGGTGTAAATATCCATTGGGATATTTCAGTGTGACATTTCTGCCATGACTTTATGCAAAACACAGAGTATCAGCTCTCAGGAAACATGCCACTTCCTAACTCAAAGGCTTCAAAAAGACTCTATAGCATTCCAGAGAGAGCAGGAATTTCAGTGATAGTTTGAGTATATAGCCTGCTCCATAGGGTTTTCATTCCCTAGGACATATCATGAAAGAGCAGTGTCGAAGCTGTACACACTATGAAAGAGAGAGCTGGTCTGCAAACACAGATTGATTCGTGCCTTCCCTTGCATGTGCCCTGCACTGCTGACCAACTCTGTGCTCAGTGAGAGGAAAATGCAAGTGCCTGAATGTAATCAGATCCTGCTCACTACAGAAGGGGGAAAAAATATAGTGCCAAGGCAGCTGAAGCACAGGGATTTCAGTTCATTAAACTTGTATTATTATATTCTTAAATGATTCCCAGAGAAGTGGAAAATCAAGCAAAATTATGACAGACGAAGCCTGAACACTGCTCAGAAATCTAAGAGTTTAACCACATCTGACCTATTTGGCGTGATTTTTGTGGCAACAGGTATCAATAAGTCATCTTAATGCCAAGAGTGTGTATTTTTTTCAGAGGGGGGGATTAATTACTTGAATCAGATGATGCTTCCATTAAGAAAACCTGTAGTCTATAAAATGATTAATTAATGTGACTCATATCAACAAGCTTGAGAGTCTACATGTCAAAGGCAAACTGATCTCAACTTCCTTTGCTCCTTAATGTATTTATGGTCTTGTGCAGAGGAGGAAAA